TTTACAGTGGTTTGTGCAGCCTGGGGTTTGTTCAACCGGGAGAGTTTTCTTAACTGAGGAGAGGCTCTGCCTCTGGGTGGAGTGCTCACTCCTCTATGGCTTAAGGTACATCCAGAAGAAAGACTTCAGGTTCAACTTGGCAAGCCCAGCAAGGCAGCTGGGCTCCGCGTGCCTGCAGCTGGCCTCCCGGATGCGTCCCTTGCAGGACAGTTCTGGGACTTCACAACATTTTCCTGTCCTGATTAACTCTTCTTATTCTGGAGTTGGTTGGAGCTAGAGCTGGCTTTATTTGGCATGGATTTACTGTTGTGGGCATTCTGTGCTAAAACTCTGTTCTCTTCTATTCCAGGTTGGGGTCACAACCATGCCTACTAACTGCTGAGTACAGAGTGAAGACTGTATATGTTACAAAGCTTGACTGGGCTGTTGGGGACCTGCTTTGAATGCATTATGTATATATAGAACCATGGAATCATAGAATCGTTTAGGTTGGAAAAGACCTTTAAGATCATCCAGTCCAACCATTAACCTAACACTACCAAGTCCACCACTAAACCAATTAAGGGTAGAGAAGCAATTTCATGCTTCCTGGCTTGGTGGCTGGATTATTTATAATGAAAGTAAAAACTAGGAATCATTAAGGTTGGAAAGGACCTCTAAGATCATCATTCCAACCATCAACCCAACACCACCATGCCCACTAAACCATGTCCCAAAGTGCCACATCTACCCGTTTTTTGAACACTTCCAGGGATGGTGACTCCACCACCTCTCTGGGCAGCCTGTTCCAATGCTTGACCACCCTTTCCGTGAAGATACGATGCTAGGCAACAGGAAATTGTGCAGAAATCTCGAGGTTTGGGGGTTCTTCTAGCACCTAGCAGAGGCACTATTGTGAAACTACACAAATAGGATTATAAATTGCAGTTTGAAGAAGAGGGCCTACTTACTGGAGTTTGCAAGAGGAAATAAATCCAAGCCCATGGTTTCTTTTTCTCCTCTCACCAGAAAGAGAAATGTGTAATGAATGTCTCATGTCTGAAACACTGGGCTGGATTCATCAAAGGGAGTTAGTAATTACCAAATTGAGAGAATCATGAAGCGCTTTTCTAAATTTGAAAGGCTCATCAAGAATAGATCAGGAGCAGGCAAAATTAATAGTTATGAACTCATTTCCATAGAAATGGACTTATTAGCAAGCATGCCAGCTGCCTAAAATTATAAGGTCTTTTCCTTGTGCTTGCAGGAAATAATCTTTTTTTATAAAAGTAATTTTGACTTTTTATTTTTTATTGCTTCTCTAAACTAGGGTTTGGCAAAATCCTTCTAAACCGGGAAAAGACTTCACTGGACAACAGAAATATTTAACTAAAAAGAGAAGAAAGACGTGGAAAGGAAAAGTGATTTATAGTCCTTAGATTCCATCAGACTCTTCCCAATAGTGCAAACTTATTTAAGAGAAAAATGGAATAAGTCTCAAGAAAAAGCTGAAAAATCTTTATAGGATAAAGTTTGGTTTAGCGGGATTTAATGGCTGATAACAGCATGAGTTACAGTCGTCGTCTTCTCTGCTAGTGGATTTTCTCACTGGTAGCGTTTTGTCTTCACCAGGCAGTTGCACATCGACAGTGACTACAAAGACCAACATATCGGCCACCAGCTACAAACCAGACTAAAAGCTGCAGATTTGCCATGGCGGGGTGGAACGACTCCTTTTAAAAAGGGTTACAGTGTAATCCTCCATAGCCAGGAGAGAAATTTAGATACAGGTGTTGCAATGTAGATTTGTCAGCTAATGGTGCTGACATAAGTAAATGCTAACCTTTCAGGTCTTGATTATGGTTTAATTTATCTCTGGTTTTACTTTAGCAACCTCCATCAATTTCAGTGGAAAAAGGCAGTGGTCTCCCACACGGTATTATAGAGGATGGTTGATAAATTGCAAGAATTATGAATATAGTACTGGTCTTCCCACTAGGAAAGGAGCCCCTGTAGGATAAGAGATGCAGCAGCCAGTAGGAAGGCACTAGTCTGAGCAAGAAAGAAATTAACTTTTCAGGTTTTATCATAGGTTCATTGTAGTTGTAACCCGGGAAGAGACTCAGAACAACGAGGGTGGATTAGTCCATGGGGTACTCTGTGTCCCAGATACTGTAACACTTGGCATTGCTTGAAGCCTGAATCTTTGTCCTAAAGAGGAAAAAAGGGAGACCATAATTTTAGAGAAAATTCACTGACCTGCTGTTCCAAAGGTAACTGGAAACCTGCTGGTGAATAAAGGAATCCAGAAGTTGAGTACTGGTTTGCTAAAGCTATACACTCAATGGAGAAACTCCGTAAGTGAAAGATGGTTAGACACAGTAAGTCCATCTCCTTCAGCCAAAGTTCAAATGAAAAGAAGTGGATCCTTCTTTAATCAATATGGATATGTCATGCTACATGATTCCCTTCTGAGACAAAGCAGAAAACATTTGACAAGCCACGTTGTTTTTCCAGGTGATGATAAGGATCCTCTTTGGAACCAGGACCTAGGAAGTCCTGAGTCCTGGGAGACCTGGGAAGTCAGCTTTGCAGTAGTTCATATGTTAATATTAAATCTGAGGAATATTTATGTTTGTGAGTTGCTGCTCTTTTTCTAGAGGCACAGAGACTCATTTCTAATCCAGCAGTGTATAACCATGTCTGCCTTTAAATGAAGCTTATGTCTTTTATAGCTATACAGCTGTGCTAAGGATGCAGTGAAGGTCTTTGCATATTTAGAGGCGCAAGAGTAATTTTACTCCCTGGCGATTACTTCAGTTGCTATATAGGCAAGATACACACATGCTTTTCTTAGGGAGATCTGAATCCCAGTCTGTCTTAAAAATATAAAACCACTATTATGGTTACTTTTTGGGTGCGTAAAAAGGAAAACAGGAAAGGAATAATTGAAGGCATGATGGACTGAGCTCAAAGTAGTGCCAGTCAGTGGGACACGTGGAATGGATTCATCTGTGCAGACTAACCTGACATATTATTTAAGTGGTGAATCTAAAGCAAAACCCGCCATCAGTGGTTTTGTTCCAAATTTGAAACCACTTGTGGGTGGTTTTGTGAGTGGCGACTATTGACTTGAACAGATTGAACCTAAATTGCAGATCTAAACATACCTTGACAGGCCCAATATCTAGATCCATAGTTAGTGTAGAGCTCATCTCTAAATTTCATTTCTGTGTTGTGAGCAAATTAATTTTATGTAATTTAGATAAAACAAACTGCCAGAAGTGATACGCGGAAAACTATGAAGCTGAGTACTCCCTTGTGGTGCCCGCAGTGGTTATGTTTTTAACAGAAATGGTTTAATTACATCCCTAGTATTGTGTAATAGTAGTTGTCTTAAAAGATTTTTGCTGATTGTCTGGTTGGCCACCCAAAAGATGCCTTAATAGCTTCTAGTTTTGCCTGGGGGTGGATAGTATCTTCTGTCAGCGTGGAAAATATTTATCCTCCAGGCATTGAAGCATATGTTTGTATTGTTTGTTGTCAGAAAGAAAACATGAAAATCAATAATTCCTGTTCAGATATTTTTCCTTTACGATGCGCCTTCAAAAACATATGGCAAAAACAGATTCTGCCTCTGTGCAGTTGGGCAGAGGAAAAGTGTGCTTTAAGTCTCTGTTCTTTGCAGCAGCAGGCTAAAACTTTCCACGAAAGTTTTAGGGTAAGGGCACACAAATAATGTACCGTGGGACAGGACAGAGGATGATATTAAGAGGGCAGGTCATTACTGAGGGGTGCCTGCATGCACAGAACACATCCTGGATCGGGGACAAGCTATCTCGTGCTCGCAGTAAGAGCACACTCAAGTCATTACAGAATGGCCCAACATGCTGCAAATTCAGATCTTAGCCTATTTTATGAGCACATACCCTGAAACTTCAGGAATATTGATAACATCGGTTGTCCCTTCAACGGAATATGATTAAGCAGTTGGGTCTGCAGTCAGGTTGGCTGCCTTTCCATCCCGCCTCGGCGTTTTGTAGGCTGCATCGGGTCTCCACGCTGCAGGCGTCTGTCTGGGAAACTGGGGCAGGAACTTGTATGCTGTTTTGTAACGTACTTCAATTTTTGTGGAAGTAAAGTGCTGGATCAGCAAAGGTCTGGTTTTTAAATAGATCCCTGCTGTGGATATGCCGAGTGCTGTTGGATAATCGTGGTGCCTGTTTTCTTCTCTGTAACATGAAGATAAGATCTGTCTTTCTAACCTGAGGATTTATTATTAATATTTACATAGCGTTGGACCAGAGGAGAGTGCTAAGTGGTGGTGTTAACAAAAGAAGCAGAAGTAATTTTTAAATACAGTTCTGAATGCTATGCATTTGCATCCATTCCTTTACCTTTAAACTTTTATTTCCAGATGAGAAATTTATAACGATTGCCATATAATTACAAGTCTGCACCACTGATGAGAAGAATGTTTTCATGAATTGAAAATAAGGATAATCTATCCCCCATTTTTTTGTCATGTATAATTGCTGCATATCCATTTTTTCACTGAGATAAAGACAAGTTTGGGTTTGAATTTCTTTTTTCCCCCCACAAGAGCTCGTTTCTGATACAGCATGAGGAATGGCCAAGTATTGTGTTGTTTCAGAGCATCAGTATTTGCAGCAACAGAATTATAATAATGCTATATTAAATAATAGACAATAATAATATAATAATAATCTGTGCAATGCAGTTCCCAGGGTTTGGGGCTTATTCTGTAAGTTCGTTGTGATTACAGAGGATGAACACCTGAGTTTAATAGGGAAAATGCCTCCATTTCAGGAAATGGTGTCATTTCATCTGTAAAGTATAGCTGTTGCCCAGTGTGTAGTCTGATTTTGGTTTCTGTCAGTGTCTTCAAGTCTGCATGTTGAATTCAGTGGTAAATCTTCTGGTGAATGCAAGAGAAATTAGAATATATTTTGTTATTAACATCCTGCTGATGTTGTGGGCAATTTTGGGTTTTTTTCCAGAGCAAACATGTCCTCCTACGAGATCCTGCAGATGGACTTTGAGATTGACAACACCAGCAGCCTGGCAGGGGCCCAGCAAATTACTTGGCAGGTGGAATACCCTCGAGATGACTCCGTGAGCGAACTGGTGGTCTCCGAGATCTTTGTCAGCCGAACAATGTTTGTGGGAATTGTTCCTCTTGCGATGGTAAGAACTTGCTGCTGCTTCTTTTTGCTAAATGTTTCCGTTGTTTCTCGTTAGTATTCAAGGGAATGTGAGCCATTTTATTATATGCTACTTCCTATGCACCTGCTGCAAGTGATTTAAATGCAAAAAATACATTTCAATAATATTTTATTTACCTGATATGCCATAATGGTTCCTTGGAAACCATTTGAGTCTTTTGTGAAAATCCTTTACCGTTTGTGGATTATTGGCCTGGTACATGGTAATAGCTCCTTTGGAGCCATTGTCTTCTGGTGTATTAATGCGACTGCCATGCATGTGCTCTAAGGGTAAATGTTGCAATTAGGTGGGACATTTTCAGTGAAATAAATTAGCATGCATGTGTGGGAAACTTCATTGCTAAACCAAACAACTGGACTGTTTTCTGCTTTGCTTTTCCCCAAAGACCCACACAGTCTGGTGAGCTGCAAAGTGTCAATTTAATAAAAGGTCCATTTTGAGTTATAGAGAAAGGACAAAATACTTTCTGAAGATGTAGGTGTCGGCCATATTTTCCAGGCAGGGTTTAAGGTGTATGTGTGCAGAAAGCTCAAAGCTGCTGGTTTCTTTAAAAAATGTGAATATCTCCTTCTAAAATCAAACACACCTTTTCTAGGAGGGACTGTTGGTCTACGCTTGGGCCTGATGAACTTTTTCATACTAGAGCTTTAAGCTTACACATGACCAGTGATTTCAGTGGGGGTATTCTGGTGTAAAACTAGAGAAGCAGCCAGAGAGCCTGGATGTTACACCAGTACCCTGAGAAACACTCTGGTAACTTTCATTTACTTCTCATGAACATTTGCCCTTCCCTTCTGAGTCGGTCTGTGCTGGTTTTCTTTTTATTACACCATATAACCAACAAATATTGGCATTTTCCTCTGCATGACCACTAGCTTCCCCTACTAGGACAGAAGCAAGGAAAGATGCTTGTAAAGGTAAATAAGACCCTAAAGAATTTTAATTTCCAGTTCCTACTGCCAAAGGCTACACTTACTGGCAGCCCAGTGATAGAGGAGAAATTATATGTAGAAAAGTCAATAGAGAATTTTCTTCTAGTGTTTTTTTTTTTAATCACGTAGGAGATGAAACAAAGCTCTAATTGTGTGGATGGAATATTATCAAATACTAATGGTGAATCAGATATAATAATGACAGAAGGTTGTGCATGAACAGTCTTGCACACAGCATTGCCGGTTTCAAATGGATAGCATGGAGCTTGTGCCATGCAGAGCACCACAGATATAAAAGGAAAGCAAATCCAACCCAAAAGCCCATTGTGAATGTTGGATCAGAGCTTTGCTGCTGTCTCTGCCAGGGTTTTGCCAGGGTTTGACTTCATCTCTTTGCAGTTATGGCAGATGTTGGCCACTTCAGCTGTCTCTAAATGTCCTTACAAAATCTGAGGTTGAACCTGAATTCAAAGTGGAGCTAATCTCATCTCTGACACTTTGTCTCCACTAACCGTGGAGTAAAGGAAAAAGCTTCTTTTGTGAATTTATGACCTTAGTCCTTAAATGGGGGTCTCACGTGGGCTATTACTTTGCTGTTGCATGTGAGCATCCTTGACTGGCTTGGCCCAAGGCTGATAGGAGAATTCATGACAGCAATGGCAGGAACAACAGCTTGTATTTGCATTTCTTTCCCTTATGTTTGCCAGTTTGCAGCGCTGCTTCATTTAATAGTCACTAACTGGTGCAGGTTCTGGCACTGCATTGCCCAGTCAGGAGCAAAAAGTAATTCTTCTGTGCATCATCCTGTGTTGTTCAGAGGAAACATGTTCCCAAGGCCTGGAGTTCCTCATTGAACTAAATGCATTTTAACGTTCATTCCTCTTCAGTATTTGCCTGGCTCATTGGTAAGGCAGTCTCCCCCTGAGTGCAGGTGTAAGAGAGAAGCTTGTCATCTTCTGGACCTTGGTCCCCTGGAAGAGCACCACAGAAGGGTCCAGAAACTGGTGCGTTTCCATGCCTTTGCCATTGCACTGAACGTAAATTACTTGCTGTTCCTTTTCAGCGTATCCACTCTTTCATTGTAAACATTGAATATTTATAGATGAAAACATAGAGTTCCTTGGAGAGTTTAAGGTTTGAGCAAAACATTTAGTCCTTGATTTGCAGGAGTGAATGTTTTGATGGGATTACCAAAACCTCTTGGTGGTTCAGTGGTAATGACACCAGCGTTTGCATGAAGAAAGTGCAGCTCAGTATCATGAAGAACAAAAATTCCTTTCCAGTAAGAAGACTGAGGTGGATTCAGTAAGAGCTTACTGGAGGAGAAATTAGCTGTGAAATCCTGCAAAACGAAAATTAACTTCAATGCGTGGATCTCTTTCTGTAGACCACTTTAGTTCTTTTAATGTTCAGTTTTGGGCCCCTCAGTACAAGAAGGACATTGAGTTGCTAGACCATGTCCAGACAAGGGCAGCAAAGCTGGTGAAGGGTCTGGAACACAAGTCTTATGAGGAGCAGCTGAGGGAACTGGGATTGTTTAGTCTGGAGAAGAGGAGGCTGAGGGGAGACCTTATCGCTCTCTACAACTGCCTGAAAGGAGGTTGTAGTGAGGTGGGTGTTGGGCTCTTCTCCCAAGTAGTTAGCGATAGGACAAGAGGAAATGGCCTCAAGTTGTGCCAGAGGAGGTTTAGTTTGGATACTAGGAAAAATTTCTTTACTGAAAGAGTGCTCAAGCATTGGAACAGGCCGCCCAGAGAGGTGGCGGAGTCACCATCCCTGGAAGCGTTCAAAAAACGTGCAGACGTGGCACTTGGGGACATGGTTTGGTAGGCATGGTGGTGTTGGGTTGATGGTTGGACTGATGATCTTAGACATCCTTTCCAATCTTAATGATTCCTAGTTTTACTTCATTAAAAAATAATCCAGCCACCAAGCCAGGAAACTTGAAATTAATTATTACTCTACCCTTAATTGGTTTAGTGGTGGACTTGGTAGTGTTAGGTTAATGGTTAGACTAGATGATGTTAAAGGTCTTTTCCAACCTAAATGATCCTATGACTCTATAATATAAAGACAGCTTCTTCCATATAGTTTGGAATATCGCTGTTTTGTTGCTGCAGTTGGTCCTGTGTTTATCTTTGTTTTCCATGCTACTTTCTTAAGCAAACAGGAGAAAATCGAAAGAGCCCCCAGATAATTTATTCTGTCATTACATTGTGGTGACTCTGCAGATAGTGGTGGGGATATTTTTCTCATTACTAGCTTGCTTTTTTTTTTGTAGATAAAGATATGGTAGACTGCATGGTAACATTTGAATAATAGCCTGATGAAAAGAGCTGATTTTTTGCTTTAGTGAGTTTATGAAGCCCTTAACATCAAATCTCATGTTCTTAACATTTACATTTGGTAGCTAGCTCGAAAGGCCTTTTTTTGGGTTTTTTTGCTTTTGGGTTTTTCTAAGTGAAGATACAGCTGATTTTTGCATATTATGTAGCAAAAAATAGCTCCTTATTAGCAGACAATCTTGCTGTAATGAATTGATATTGCAGATTATTCCTGGCTAGTCCTTTGGTATCAAATCAGCAGTGCATTAATAAGCACTGTTTTGAGATGCACAGAAGGAAGCAGAGCCAGGAGAGTCTACAGGTGAAATCCTGGCCAGGGTAGTACCCGTCAGCTGCGCCTGCTCTTAGCCTGCTCCTGAGATGAGGTTGTCCAACATAACTCGGTGAAAAAACATTAGGATAAACTGCAATGCCTATATGCTGTGACTGAAAAGGAACAGAGATTTTTAAGCCTTGATAGGGACATTAGGAAGTAACTGGAAACTTGTTAGCTTGTGAGAAAAGTAGAAATACTTAGTGTTGCAAAACCAACTGTTCTTCCTTCTGTAAGGTAACTGTAAAATTACTGTGGGTTTCTGGGGGGTTTTGCATATATTTTGGAAGAGGACTAAGATAAAATCTTGGAATATTGAGAATTCCTCCCAAACTATCCATCTTAATTTGAATGATCCTCCATATTATAAATCTCAGTGTTATTTGTTGCCAAATCCAGTGCATTCAAAATATGTAAATAAATAAAACATTTGCACTAATGAGAGAAAATAAAACAAAATTTCATATTGAAAGAGAGCCCACTTTCTGCATCATCTGACAGTTCTCCCCAAATCCTTAAGCTCCTCCTAATTGAAACATCCAGTTTCAACAACTGCACAGGGCCAGACAGTTGGGATTTCCAAGGGAACTACATCCAGATGGAAACAGCACAGTCCAGTAATTTAGGATTTCCTTTCCAAAAGTCGTATCTCTACTTCTGGGCGAGCAATGTAGATTCTGCGCGCAGTGGGAAAGTGCACAGAGAGGATGCCGTGAGAATGCAGACCGTCCCTGGCTGGCACGGTGAAGAAAAGAGAAAATATCGAGATGGGTGATCACAACTGCATGCAGCCTACACCCTTCTCAGGAGCTGATTTGGATGACAGCTGTGATAACCCTACTGCTGCTCTAAGGGTCGGCTTTCTGGAGTTGTTCTTATGGCTCTGCCTGTAAATCAGATGCCTGCCGAGAGGTTTCAGTCCTGTAGCACTTCTTATAGAGGAATATAGTGGGGAATGCTCTCATTAGGTTATACTGTCATTTCCATCATTCCCAGCTGCTGGAAGAGTGTGGCAAAGGAAGCGACCCAGTCTGTATCCGTACAGCCGAAGTCATATGGGAAACCACATTCGGTTTTACTTGAGAAATGTTTTGAGACATGAAAGGGCTAAGAGGGTAGACTGTGTCTTTCAGCCTGTGTGTCGCGTGTCCGTCCCCTCTCAATCAAACAAGACCCCCGGTTCTTGTTTAGTCCAAACAGGGCCTTATTACCTCCTAGCAGGTGGCTAGAGCAGCGGCACACAATCAATGCGGAGTGCAAAGCGCTTTTTGTCTCACTGGCACCGTTTCCAGCCTCACGGACGATCTGATCCCAGGTGGTACTGCTGTGTGCATTTGACACCATTTTAGAAAGAGATTGTTTAGTTTGTCC